CTGTGGGTGTCCTTCCCCCGCCTCTTTGTTAGGACACTTCCTGGGCCTCTGCCTCCCCATCCCCGCCCCTCCCCACCAGCCTAGGCGGGTTCTACCCTCTCATCCGTCCGTCCATCTGTCCGGAGTCCCTCTCTTCCCTGGAGCTGCAGGCTGAGCTCATCGGAAACTTTGTGTGGTGGGTCACATTGCCCGTGGCCCAGCCTCCGGCCAGCTGTGGTCCCCCCGACCTCTGGTCTCGTCATCCTTGGGAACAGTGTCTGCTGTGTGCGGCCTTCCACAGCGGGAGGCCCAGGGCCAAGGAGACCTGGGTTGGGGTTGAGCACTCGGCCATGCCCCCAGCCTGGTCCCCGCCGTGGCCCTGAGCGTGGTGGAGGCCGTGGGGTGGTCTTGAGAGGCCTCCTGGGGTGAGGGGCAGAGAGATCCTGGCCAGCCTATGCACCCCCACCTCTGCCCACAGGGAGAGCGGGCCACGGGCTTCGGCGTGGCCCTGCTGCTGGCGCTCTTCGGCCGGGCCTCCGAGGACCCCCTGCTGAACCTGGTGTCCCCGCTGGGCTGTGAGGCCGACACGCAGGCCGAGGACATGGAGCGTGATTCCAAGCGGCGCAGACTCGTGTGACGGCTGGTCCCGAGGCCCCCTGGCCCGCGGCCCCGGCTCTTTACCTCACTTTGCACTGATTAAATTTAAGCAATTAAAGATTATACCTTCAGATGGGTTTTGGTGTGCTTTTTGTCTTTAACTGTCGTGATGATAGAAATGGCTCCGTCTTAGGAGACAGGTTTCGGCTTGGCAGGGGCTGGCGATAGCATGGGGGGCTTGTTTCTGTTTGAGCCACCACTGTGTTCCTTCCATCAGCACAGCCGGGGGGGTCAGCACAGCTCTGGGAGGTCAGCACGGCTCCCAGGGGTCAGCAGAGGATCGGGAGGTCAGCACGGGCCCCAGGGGGCAGCACAGCCCGGGGGGAGTCAGCACAGCCCCAGGGGGATCAGCATGGCCCCGGGGGCAGCTCCGGGGGGTCAGCACGGGCTCCGGGGGAGTCCGCATGGGCCCAGGGGGTCAGCACGGCCCTGGGGGGGTGGTCAGCACGGCCCCAGGGGGTCAGCATGGGCTCCAGGGTGTCAGCACGGCCCTGGGAGGTCAGCACGTCTCCTGGGAGGTCAGCACAGCTCCCAGGGGTCAGCACAGCTCCGGACAAGTTGTCTGCACACAGTGGTCTCGTTGCCAGCATGGCCAGGGCCCCCACGTGCCCGCTGTGGCCCACACGTGTTCCACACGGCTCCTGCTGACCGCACAGCGGCCTGCTCATCCCGTGGAGGGGAGGGAGGTGCTGACCTGTGAGGGTCCAGTTTGAGGGGTGCAATGAGTCTTCACTGCAGCCTGGAGGACTTGCGTAGGGCTGAGTTAAATGTGGCCGGACCCCAGCGCAGCCTCCCTCTGCTCATTCTGTCTCGGAGCTCCCCACCACTGCTTGAGGCAGGCTCTGGGCTGCCTCCTCTCCTCCCAAACCAGGGGCTGAAGATGGGAGGGGCCTCTGGGATTCAGCATGATGGCCTGACTGTGCACAGGTGAGTGCCCCCAGCTCACCAGCCTGACTGTGTGCAGGTGGGGGCCCCCATCTCAACAGCCTGACTGTGCACAGGTGGGGCCCCCAGCTCAACAGCCTGACTGTGCACAGGTGGGGCCCCCAGCTCACCAGCCTGACTGTGTGCGGGTGGGGGCCCCTGAGCTCACCAGCCTGACTGTGCGCAGGTGAGGGCCCCGGGCTGGGCTTGGCCTGGTCATGCACAGGGGAAAGCCCTGAGCTCAGCCTGGTTGTACACAGGTGAGGGCCCCCAGCTCGGCCTGGTCGCACACAGGAGAGCCTGAAGCCAGGAGAGTAGGTGCCTGGCCTGGGTGGGCGCTTTGATGCCAGCTCTACGGGTCTCCGGGCCTAGGCTGGGTACTTCCCAGGCTCACTCACAGTGTCTGTGGCTCCCTGGGTGGGGAGGGAGGGGGTGCTGGTCTCCCCAGCAGGGCCTGGATATTTCCTCAGCACTCCCACACACACCTCTGGACACAGTCATGATGAT